CCAACAGAAATATAATTATATAATCAGCATTTATAAGTCCTTATTGTTCCCAAAAATTCAAATATATCACAAAAGAAAAAAGAAAAATTAAAAATTGTGCTGATCGGGACATCGGGCATGATATATTTTCTACTTTTTCAACTTATCTGAATTTCTAAATGTGTTATTATGAAATGCATCGGACCACCAAATTGACAAAGATCAGGTGTAAAGAGGAATGACAAGGATTCATGATGGCACAGATTAGCCAGTCTGGTGTCATAACCTGAAGAGTGAGAAGTCATCAATCAACATCATAGAAAAAAATTAAACAAAATTAAAATGTAAAAAAATCAATAAGGGCTTTAATGGTGCTGACAATGCATTATTGGATGTAGCTTGCATGTACGTTTTGGAGTCAATCACATAAAAATATATATGCACACAATTCCTGAAGATGTATTTATTTATACATGTAAATATCTAAACGTGTAAAGATTTTCTGAACAGTGAAATCCACGATGCTCTGAATGGAGATAAGGCAAGTACTCTTTCTAGTGTTCTGTATCTCTTATAAAAGAGGAAACATCTGTCTTTAAATTGTCATTTTGGTTTTTCTTTTTTAAGTTATACATACGGAACCTGTTGTGGGCCTAAGCATTGTTTCAAATATCTGCTAGCTTGGTTGTAGCGCCTTCCTATCAAATAGTTGGAGCATAAATCCAAAAAGATATAGATATAGATATAAATAGATATATGATTGATATAAAACAAAAGGGGGAAAAATGTGTTTTTCAAGGCCTTAGTTCAGGGCCAATAATCAACCCCCACCGACCACCCAAAAAAAGTGTCTGCAATTATGTAACAGAAACAGTCAAAGACAAACAGCACTGAAAAACAAAGAACTCTCAGAAAACATATTAGTTTATATATTTACTTCCTTTTTCTTCCATCCCTTCTTGGAATGAGTGGGTTGTTTTTAGAATCTGCATGTAAAGAGTGCACCACCAAGAAACATCAGCGATGACTAAAAAGCAGAGCGGAAACAGATGCAGCTGACTAACTAGCTGCCAACACAAACACTGTCAGAAGCTTGCATGGATGCATCCGTCACTACCGCGCTTCCTAGAAATAGATGGAAAAGGTCAGATGCCTTTGTTCCCCAAAGGAGGTTAGTGACTCTCTGACAAATGTTTCTTGAGCTTGTAACATGTGCGGGACACTGTCACATTTATAGACTCGGACTTGTAGTATCTGAAGTCTGAGCACTAAAACATGGCAAGCTAAAAGTCTGACATTTTATTTGATAGCCAAAGATCTATCAATACTCTTTCAAACAATCACTGCTGAAACAGATGAGTAAGCAAATCAAAACTCAAACATCTTTGGATCTGATTTCACACACTGTCACTCTCAGTTTACTTTACCTGTCATATAATATTTAGTTTTTTCTTTTTGTCTCTTGCCACAAGACATAGCATTTCACTCTGGCAGGGTTTTATGTTTTACGATATGTTTTCATAGACTTATTAGCAGTTAAACATAGAATCCAGACAGTTCCAAGTATGGAAAAAAGGTAATCAG